CCCCCACCATTCACTCCCGAAACTCGAGTCCTTGGTTTCTCTGGCAGCGTCAAGCTAGTCATGGTAGGTGCCCAAGGGATAGTTTCTGAAGACATGGCCAGAGCTAATACTCAGTGTCCAAGGATGCCGTGGGCACGTAGAAACTAACTCTTAGCTTGGTGAGCTGTGGTGAGAATCTCTTTTTCTCCAGAAGTGATTCCTTCCTGGTGAACCTGATTTTCTCTAAAAGCAAGGACCTTCCGCTTCTGTGTGCTGGCAGCTTTGAAGGCTCCAGACTTGAGTGTGCTTACTCTCTAGGGTTGAGGGCAGGGTGTCTGAAAAATGCCTTTGTGAAATAAGATTTGTGGGTGATTCTCCTGACTGAGGTTTGGGGAGCAGAACTGTGTGCGGCAGGAGCCACCGCACACGGAGCCCTGCGGCCTCTCTTTGCTAAAGGAGTCTACCTGTCTTTGTTTACCCAGAAACCAAGGATGACCTAGAACAACTCACGACAGAGATCAAGAAACGGGCCAACAACGTCCGGAACAAGCTGAAGAGTAAGAGGGGTCAGAGGGAACAGCCGTCCTCACCCCATCTCACGTCCCCAGCAGCTGGTCCCCCTGACTCTCACCGTGATAGAAGAGACTCCTCTTCTTCCACCTGGCCCTGTGCTTTAGCTCACTCCTCCTCCAGGGACCTATTGTAGCCCCAGAAATCTGTCTTTCCTCCAACCCTGACTGTCCTTGAAAGAGTCTAGGACCAAGAGTTAGGAAATGAGACTGCAAATGTGTAGTTCTGTGACTGGGCCCATTCATACCGTCCCTCAGCTTTTCTTTCACTGGTCTCCAGTCCCCCCAGATTTTAGAGATCTAGAGGTACTGGCTTTCTAAGGGCTCAAGTATAAGAACAATTGTGAGGATGGAGCAGGACCAGGTTGTGTTTCATTCTGTTGTACAGAGGGTCCCTCTGAGTCAGAACCGACTCACTGTTGCTCAACAACAACACAGATGCAAGATAGAGGATTCAGGCGATAGACATGGCTTGGGGCCAGGTACATTTCCCCTCATTGTCCCCTGTTTGAAAGCAGAGTCCATTGAAACGGTTGCCCTTGATCCAGTTAGTCTGGATGCCCAGAAAGTTTACTCCATGTCTGATGCATTTGACGAGTACACACCATTGGGTGAAGGTTCAGCCCAGTTCATCATTTCTTCCCACCAAACGCAGCCCAACATGGTTCCATGGCAGAAGAGGGTGGAACAGTAGCAGCGGCTAGGAAGATCAGTGATGATGGACCTGCCACAGTGCTAAGCATTGTGTGCGTTCTCATTGAGTCTCCACCGTGGTAGCCCGAGGGAGGTGGTACTGTTATTATTCCATCATACAGGCAAGAGAGACCAGGAATTCTAAGAGAGGTTAAAGGTCTCCTCTGTGGTCGTAGAGCTAGTAAGTAACACGCAAGGCCTTGAACTTTAAGTCCCATGTTGACCAAGACTCATGCTAAGGCGCTGTTCAGAGACCTGACCTTGCTTAGGGTTGAGGAATCGAAAGTCCTTCAGCTTCCCAGAGAGCTCCCCCTTTGAGGTTGCATGCAGTGGTGACTGTCTCTGAGGGCTGAGTGCATGAGAAAGTGAAGATGGGTGCGTGTCTTGGACAAGAGGAACAGGTGTGCTACTAGAATCACCCTCCTCCCCTCTCCAGGTATGGAGAAAAGTATTGAAGAAGATGAAGCCCGGTCATCAGCAGACCTCCGGATACGGAAATCCCAGGTAAGAGTCCCCAATTTTATAACCACCTGGTCCAGTCCTTTTTGTTCTTAGCTGCAGAATGAATATATCTCTAATGGTTGTAGAATGAATGAATAAAAGGCAACACAGCGCTGATTGGGAACTCCATTGAACTGACAAAGAGGAGTTGCCCCAAGTTCCAACAGGAGAAAGAGCAGGAGGTCATCACATTTGCTGGGCCCTCTCTCTAACTCTCCTTTGCTGAAGAGGTTTCAGAATGCAATCAGACCCACCGATTCAGCATGCTAGCCTTGTTTCACAGATGAGGAAACGCAAGTTTTCCCTTTTTTCAGATTATAAACCATGAGGCGACCAATTTTGACCGAGGTAGTTTGGAGGTCATCAGAGATATAGTCCCCGTCCCTAGTGACTTGACATGATATTTAAGGGTTAAAGGGCACCATTACACAGCTACAAGAGGAGAAGCGTGGAAGAAGACAGAGCATCAACTGCGTGGGGCTCTCTTTGTTTAAAGAGCTCAGGAAGAATTATGGGTAGTAGCCAGAGGAGGCTGGGCCATTTACTTAGTGAGAGTGCCAACAGGCAGGCATGGGTAGAACTTCTCTTTTCTAAGAGGCACAGGTGTGTGTTTTCTTGGTAGATAATGCAGTGGCCCTTTTTATAGGTGTGTACTTGAATACCAGCTTAGAGCACTTGGATTTGACCAAGAGGCATTCGCTTTAGGCCACAGTATTTCTGAGAGAGACTCTGGCAGCCCTCAGAAAGCTCGATTAGAGTCAGGAAGAGTCAAGAGGCAGGTGGGGCCCTAGTTACAGTTTTGGCAGTGATTGTGGTCTGAGATGACGTGGTAGCCGTGAGATTAGATAAAGTAAAAATACTGACGATTTCTGCAAAGGAGGAAGGAATGTGTCAGACTTCACCTGAGAAGGAGGCAAGGAAGAAAGGATCTAGTGCGGAGAATTGAAATCAGGCATCTAGGCAGTCTTAGGGTCGTTGAAAGGATCCATCTAGTTATAAGCAAGAAAAATTGGGGAGATGCGTTAGGGTAACTCAAGGTTACCTTTGGCCGGTCTTCTGTGGGAAAAGAGTCTGGCAGTTTTAGAGAGCAGGCCAATGATGGTGCCATCCATGGGGGGATGCAAGACTCTAGATTCATGGGGATGATCTACTTTGGCCTCTTAAGTACCATGTGAGGTTAGCAAGGCAGGTGAATTGATACCAACAGCCTGCTTTGGAAAGGCCTGTGGACTTTCAGCGGAGCAAAGCTGAGGAACCAAGAGGCTGAGTCTTGTACCTGATTTTGGATTCCGGGTCCAGTGCTGCCAGAGATTAGGAGATTGCGGTGGCCAGGCAAGGGTCCTCTCTTCTCCCCGCACGAGCTCACGTTGTCCACTGTTCCCACAGCACTCTGTCCTCTCCAGGAAGTTTGTGGAGGTGATGACCAAATACAACGAGGCCCAGGTGGACTTCCGAGAACGCAGCAAAGGGAGAATCCAGCGGCAGCTTGAAATTAGTATGTGTTTGAAGCCTAGCCCCGTGTGCTCTTCCCGCTGTTCCTACCAAGCAGCTGTGTCAAGCAGTGAGGGCCAAGAGAATGGGAAGTAAACCTGTGTGACTTCTGTGTGATGTTTGGGCCAGGCCAGACCTAAAGCATCGACATAGCCAGGACTCGGAGTCTCAGGCTGGAGGCTGGCACAGTGCTTATCAGGTCCAAGCAATTTGATTCATATGGGATCCAGCATTTCCTGATCTGTTAAAAGGGAAACACTTGCTAAGCCATTGCTATCCTGTGGTCCACCCCGTTGGGTCTTTTCCCTCCTGTGTGCCTGAGATCACAGAACATCTGTGGAGTAAGATGCGCACTACGGTTTCTATGAGGACGGAAGCCACACCCTGTAGGACTATGGTAAAGTGGGAGGCGGGGCCTGGCCTCCACTTGGGAGAAGACAGTGAGCAAACACTCAAGAAACACGGATGTGCTTAGTAGTGACAGGATGTCCCGGGCCTGGGAAAAGGTGGTGTCTGGGAGCAGCAGTGTGATGTTAAGATGGCTTGAGGGAGGGTTGTGAAGGAACTTGGGAGCCCTGGTGGCATAGGGGGTAATGAGTTGAGCTGCTGACCACAGAGCCAGCAGATCGAAAGCACCAGCCACCTTGAGGGAGAAAGATGAGGCTCTGTGGCATTGAGTAGGAATCGACTTGGTGGCATTGTTTGGTTTTCGGTTGGATGTGGGAGTTGACGTGCTACCCCAAGGGCCTTGGATTATGTGGCCTAGTGAGCACCTGAGCAGGGAGGTAAGACAAGCAGATGTGTGCTTTAGGAAGGCCGCGG